AAAGATAGATGGGGGGGGGGGCAAGTTAGACAGCTTCACAGACTAGATTTAGATCTAGAGTCTATGCAAACAAGGCAAAACTCATATATAGATATCTACAGGCTAGAGATCTAGATAACGCTAACTAGCCTATGAAAACTCAACATTAGTCTTTAGTCTTTAGTTCCCTTCTTCCTTGCCCAATTATGTATTTTATTAGCTTAGGCTGTACCTACCAGTGCGAACACTTTGAACCGAAGAAATAGACTTTGTTGATCTCCTGGACAACTGCTTGGTGGCTTCCCTAACAGAGGCCACAGCGTTGCTTCTGGAACTTTTCCTCCGCACCGCGTCTGTCTCAGTACCGGTACCTGCTGGTAGCTCGTGAGTGCTCTGCCTTCTGAGAGCGGTGATTTCTTCGTAATCAACAGCGCCATTGTTGTTGGAACTGGATGAACCCTGGGATGGCCCGTTTTCCTGTTTGCCGCGCTCACCTCTGCCAGGACTTTTGGATCCGGATCCGCTGCCAAAGGACAGGGAGCTTGACAGTCTTTTGACCTGCATTAACAACAACAAAAAAAAGGTTTAAAAACGTAAAAGAATATCGGGTATCAAGATTTCCTAAACTGACAGCAAATAAAGAAAGAAAGAAGTGAGAGATTTAAGTATTTGTTGTTTTTTTTTCACCTTGACTGATTTTATTTCATTTTGTCCTTTTGATTTTCTTTCAAACTGAGCACAAATGAGAAGGATAAGTAGGCCCAAAATCGAATAGTTTATAATTCGTTTTGTCACCTTGAATATTTTTGAGAAGATAAAATTGAATCTACTGAGCAAAATTGTCTAGGAGCTGCAAAGCAATCACAGTTAAATTTGACCTGTAATATTAACCCAAAGGATCTTTGGTAACACCGGTAACGTTAAGGACGGTTCATAGGCCTATATACTTACAAAGGAAGGAATCATTTTAGATTGCCATGCAGCTTTCTTCACAAGGTCTGATCACCACCTGTTCAGGGAACAAAATGAGAATCGAATGTTATTACATGTATACCACATGAAAAAGGCAGCGAAAAAATTCTTTTTCTCCTTCTTTTTCGTTTTCTCCTCCTCCTCCTCCTCCACCACCACCACCTATGTCATCACCTCCATCACCTCCATCACCTCCTCCTCCTCTTCCTCCTCCTCATCACCATCTTCTCTTCCTCCTCTTTCTGATCCTCCCACCACAGCCCTCCTTCACGTAGCGGATAGGCTACTTTCTATGGATCCCTACACTATCTCTAAACGACGATCATAGTGTCGCGGTAGATTGCCAACTTGATCTGCTACGTCCAGAGATCTGATCAGTGGCGGGGCGTCATTGGTTCAATTGGAGCAAGCGCTCCACCTAACCCTGGCCTTCACCACCCCCGCCCCTCCCTTTCTAATAGTTCTAAACCAGTCAGAGCTCTGGATCTACATTGCAACATCCTTGCGATCCGTCACCCGCTAGCTGCGCCAGAGAAAAGACAGACAGCGAGGATTGCGTATGCTCGTGGCACGTGCATGAAACTCCTCTTCGAAGCACCAATTGGTGTAAACTAAAATTTTGATCCAAGTTTCCGATAGCCTGTCTACTACACTATAGAATCTACGGTAGCTCAATGAAGAATGGGTATCGAAACTGGTGTCTCCATCTATTGTGTAGCAAGTCCTGGTGCTGCACGAAGTAATTAGAAATCTTATTAGTAGCTAGTAAGCTGATTGCCCATTTGCTCACTTTCCAATTATGCACCACCTTGCCTGCAACCCACGCGATGCCACTGGCCCTGATGCTCTGATCCAAGTTGTGTACCGATTGTTTCCCCGTCCGTCTGAGAATATTCCCTCTAAGCCCACTATCCGGGCGCGTCATCGAGTGTTACATTTTTCAGAATGACCTACAGTATCCCTTACTATTCGCATAATCCACGAGGATCGTAGGGGCGCTGTATGATAGAGAGCCTCGTCAAGTGCTTCCACTTTTCACGTTTGTTTTTGTTTTTTGCGAGCGCCTGGGTTTAGGCGAAGGATTTCCCTCCTGTCCACTCCGCAATGTTGTCGGTCCATCTCTTTCTTTGCCTCCCCCTCCTTCTCCTCCTCGGCACAGTGCTCTGAAGAATGGGCTTGGATAGGCCATACGATCTTGCGATATGACCGTACTATCTGTATCTCTAGAATACTGTAAAACTTCTACAAGAGAGAAACCCTGGAGCCTATCATTCAGATTTACTCGTTAATCCTATCCGTATGCTTAGCATAGCAGTCTGTCAAAATAATTTTTTTGACAAATACTGAAAGTTTCAAAGAAATCTTCGTTCTAGAAGTATTCCAAAATGTGAAGAATACAACCGCGGGGGTACAAATGAACCCAGGGCGTAGGGATAGGGTTAATAAGGACGTAGTGGACACAAAATGTCTGACCAGCAGCAGCAAACAGAAGGCGATGTTCATCAATGCCTTTCACCCCTGGCAGGGTATAGGCCACAAACTCCTTCTAATTATCTTTGTCCTGGGCCTTCCCTCCAAGCTTATTCCAAGTGAGCTTCATCTCTCATGCCCTTTTCCAAACGTCTCCATGTTTCCCATGGTCTACCCCTGCTCTGTGCTCCCTGTGGGTTCCACTACAGCGACTGTCTTGTAATGTTTCCGCTGGGCTTTCTCAGGGTGTCCCATCCATCACCACTTTCTTAGTCCTATTTCTATTTCTATATATATATATCCTTTTGTCCTATCCTTTCCCACAGCTCTTCTTTTCTTATTCTATCCTGCCACTCAATTGTTAGGATTCTCGTCATACTTCTGTTGATGAAAGTCTGGATTTATTCGTCAGTACCGTGCTGTCTTCGTTGTCTTCCAAGTATCGCAGCCGCAGAGGCGCACTGACTTGACACAATGATAATACACTTGACATTAGAGTTAAAGAGTCGAATCTTGGTACGCATGACCATACCATCTGTATCTCTAGAATACTGTAAAACTTCTACAAGAGTGAAACCCTCGAGCCTGCGAATACCATTCACACAGACCAGCAAGGGTCCAAGGACGAGCGACGGCGGTCACAGACGTATCAACTCTTCATTAGGGACGATAATAGCGGGTACAAAATGTCCGATCAGCAGCAGCAGACATACAGAAGGCGCCGTTGCGAAACATTAATTATTCAAACCATTATATACAAATCACAAACACGTACCAATTTGCATAAATTACATTTCCTAGAATTCATGTTAGATCTAATTGTTGACTGCCCTTTTTTAAGTTTCAGATAAATTAAACAAAATTGAAAAACATGTATGAATAACAAAAGTTTTGTTTTGTTCTTTTTGTTTGTTTGTTAGTTTGATTTGTTGGTGTTTTTAGGGGGGAGGGGGTGTCGTTGTTTTGTTTTGTTTTTTAAGTACCCCCAAACCGCCCCTCTTCAGGCTTGTCAAATAAGCAGAAAACGCGTCATCAATGAGAAAACAAGTACGAAAGGCTCATAATTGTGAACAACCCTCAAATACGCACCGAAGTTTAGAACGCTGAAGCCAAATATAGGGTTTTTTATGTCTAAAAGAACCTTCACAGCGCAAGAAACACGTAAGCTCAAAACATTCAGAGAGAGAGAGAGAGAGAGAGAGAGAGAGAGAGAGAGAGAGAGAGAGAGAGAGAGAGAGAGAGAGAGAGAGACTAGGCTACTACTTTTTCTCCCTTAACGCATGCTTGATTCAGTGTATGTGTGTGTGTGCGCGCGCGCGCGTGTGTGTGTGTGTGCGCGCGCGCGCGTCTGTGCGTATATGTGTGTCAGTTTTACTGTCTGCGTCTGTCGCATCAGTTTGTGTGTATCATCACTGGTGTTTGTGTGTGTGTTTCCGTGGGTGTATCATCAGTGTGTATGAGACGTATATTTGTATCCATGTGGGTGTGTGTGATGTGTGTGTATTAGTGTGTAGGCCTATGAGTGCCTGGTCGGTCCTTGTGTCTGTGTTTGTCTGTTTATGTGTCTGTAGTCACGTTTTGATTAGACAAGGTTAAAAGATTATTTTTTTAAAAATCAAAACAGAGCATTTTAAGTGTGCTCTCTCTGTCTCTCTCTCTCTCTCTCTCTCTCTCTCTCTCTCTCTCTT